CAAAGTGTTTAGCTCCTGATTAAGACCTATAGATAGTTGATTGGGTGGGATGATCCCCACTTTGTAGATAGGAAAAGTGTCACGAAGCAAATGGAATTGCTGAGAATAGAAACATGGGCATTAGGTAAACAAAGGAAACCGGGACACTCCAATACAGTTATAACTGTCCATTGGCCATTGGCCAAGTCAGGCGTGAGAAATGGACACATGTCGATTATGCAAAGCGATACGACAGGGCGTTTGCCAGGAAAACCTGACGAGTGAAAAGGAAGTTAAGTACGAAGAAGGAGAGTGTGAGGGAGGGGATGGAAGAGAGATGGGGTGCCAGCATATTGAACGTATTCAAGTGTCCATCAAATGCTTTTCGCTGGGCCCGAGTTCAATGAACTGTCAATAAATGGAACATACGCACACGTACTCAGGCATAATTATTGTGGCTCACACAAAAGTAGTGGGAATAGTAGTAGAAATAGTAGTAGGAGTTGGAGGCAAACTCAATCAAACAACGACATCCACGTCGGAAATTGGCGCTCTCAGAACCCACTCGGACGTATGATAGTCAATTTTACACGTCTACGACTGCCACAGCGCACTCGGCACTGGCAAACAAAAGAAAGAGAGTTGAGTATAAGCAATGCCGACTATTAAATGCACTAAAAAGAGGAAATATAGCGCTTTGGTAGTTCATTTCGATTAATTCTTTTAAATATTAAAAATATATAAATCAGAGAAATGTGAAATTAAAGACATAAATGCTCTTCATAATTTAAATATATATCAGGTCTTTCCAGGAAAATATATAAAATGGCTAAAAACTTTCACTTAAGCTGAGATTTGCAATAGAAAGAGTTTTGAGCTTGTTCCTCTGCATTATCGCATCATTTGCTCTGCTCTGCTTACAATCTCTGCTCAGAGTGTTTGTTACATGCCTCACTAGGTAGTCAATGTACCCTTTGTTGTTTTGCACACACTTAGTGCAGCTCAAGTGCAATGCACTCGAGCAAATATGTTGATGCTGCAGTTTTACCTTTTGGGCCACTCCACACACATGACGAGCATTTTGTGCATGCTCCAACAAAAAGTATCCCAAAATAAAACTCAGTTTCCATTTTAAGCATAAATTTAGAGGGGAAGGAAGAGGAATCAGAGAGAAAGAGAGACAGAGGGGTAGAGAGAGATAGAAAGGCAGCAAAATTGGATCATTTATCGGCGGCACTCGCTGCACAATTCATTCAAAGATATGCCACAGCTTCATTCATATCAACACGCACACACACATACACATGTGCACCCACAGTCACCCACACACACACACACACACACACACTCACTTATTTATGTAGCTGGCTGCCTCGTAATGAAAAGTGGCATATAAAGGCGCCGCTATTCATCACCAGCGGCTGGGGCTGGGGCTGGGGCTACATGGGGACAGTTGCCTGCCCAACCGCAGGCGCAGCTGAGATTTCAGCGCCCCCACATTAAACGAGTGACAGACCCTGCACCCTGACTGCCTGACTGCCAACAGTAGTCGCGCTTGCATCTGTCAGCAGCAGCAGCGGCAGCGGCAGCAGCATCTGACTCCGATTTTAGCCGCTACTAAATATTGTGGAAAAACATTTTTATGAGCCACAAATGAAAAATGCAAGAAAAAGTTGGAAATGCATGACTGCATAACACTCGTTTGTCATGCCTTAAAAGTCTGCAGAAAATATTGAAAGAGAGAAGAAAATATATGAGGTAGATACCCAACAATCTAAAAAGATCTTGCTATAAAACTTACTAGCTCCAAACGAAAATATAGTTTTAATGGATTATGTATTTATGTATGCGTATATCAACTGAAAGAGCGTTACATGGATGCAAAACTAATATACCCCGACTTGAATGCCCAGCGAGCATAGCATAGAATTCAAAAGAATCCTGTGCTGAATGCCTTTTGGCTGCCTGCCTCTCTGTATGCGTCGCTGTCTATCTGGCTGCAGTTGTTGCTCTGAATTTGATAGCCCAGCCAGTGCTAATATTTCCATCCTTTCAACAGGCTATCATCGTTGCTCGCTTAACTATCAGACATTGATTGCTTTCACATGGATAGCAATTCGGTGAGTCCCCTGCCGCCGCTGACGCTGGAAAATGAGAAGACGCCGCCCGGCACGCCCAATGGCAACGAAATGCCACCGCCGCCAGATGAAAAGTGAGTTCAAATATCTGAATATCTGCAGAATTTTATTGGTAATAAAAATGTATTTTAAGATGTGAATATTATATGAATCCGTGACTTTAAGTGTTTTGTACTTTTTCTTTTACCTTGATGAATGAATTTTGTTTTATTTTTTAGTAATATATCAAACTTAATGATTTATTATCTAATATATTTCAAAAGCATTGTACTTATATTTAGCAAAGTCTTAAACCAACCTGCAAGACAACCGTGCAAGTGATCTAGCAGATTCACAAACCCCCCACAAACACACTACGATTTGAATCTGAAGCAATTCGAAGTAGAAAACGTCACAAAGCAATTATAATTTCATTCACAGCATATACTGATTTTACAGGGTATTTGTTGACATAACCAACCATATGGTATTTCTCTTGCAAACACATGTCTAGCAGATCAATTTGCTATATCAGCTATGAAATTACATAAGTCTGTGCTTTGTTGCTCTACTCAACCCAACTCAATTTGCAGCTCGGTTTTTTCTCTGTTTATAAATATTTGAATGAAAATGGTGTCAAGTTGAATTGAAAAGCCACAACGTGAGCTGCGACTGTAGCAATTTGGCGTTGTCTAGCCCGACAATTTGGGGTATTTAAGCGAAAGCCCTGCCTTGACCTCGTCCTGAGCTGTCGTCAAAATAAAAAATATAAATAAAAACAAAAAGAACTCGTTAAAATGGCGCTCATTAATCGTGCCGTAATGGCCAAAGTGTAACATTTACATTTCAAATAGAGGAAACGAACGTTACGAGCGTTGGTGACACGCCTTAAGCCAGCTGCCAGATGGGCGGGGCATATGCCTTACGCCTTTCTCTGTTTTTAATGCGCCAATTTCCTAAGCCGTGTACACAGAGTAGCTCGTAAATTCTATTTTAATACGCGTTGCTCGCAAATCAGACTGACCAAAGAGATATATGGGACGAACACACACATACATACACCTGTAAGCACACCTGTTTACACACGCACACATTCAACAGTTGATCGCGTGCGTGCGCCCAGTTGACGCCAGCCAAAACACGCTTCATCCTTCATCCTTTATCCTGTTTGACTAGCCTGCCCCATGACCTCCCTCCCACTGCCCCCATACCCCGTTTGTAATTACAGTACACATATTTTGTTGGCCTTTTTGCTCATTTCATTTCGAATTCGATTTTGTGGGCGCGCGCTCAACTCAACTGAACGGAACTGAATTCGTGCTGCCCGACTCCATGTGTAATGAGCACGCATTAGCTGGGTGTGTTCGTTCATAGCTAGGTTTGACTGTACCCTTTGTAATTGACAAGCTCTAAGAACTGCTCCACTTTCATTTAGCATTAACCAAGTTCATTTATTATATATAATTATATAGGACAGCTGTTCTGATTGCTCTTCAAAAGTAAATTTACTTATTCATATAAAAAAACAAAATAAGGCACTGCATTATTCTATTAATAGAAAATTAGATTAGTTAAGTCGTCAGTGTGTCATTTTGATTATCTAAGCAGCATTATCTAGTATACCATATTTTATATCTAAGATTTTATTATCACGCAGTTAAACTACAGATTTATTTACCATATTTGTCAAAACTCAAGCAAATACATTTATCTTTTACAGTATTTGCCCAAAAGTCTAAAAAATATGCTCACATGCTTTTGGACAAGGTCACGAGCGTTTGTAAAAGATAAGTTTAATCTTCTGACAGAAACTTTTTAACATTTTCTGTTAGTCAGAATTTTATAATATTCTTTTCCAACATTTCTCTTTTTAGTTTTATTCAAACATAATTCAATTTAATAATTTCGCACAAGACCTACTAACTGGTTTGTGTCTACGCTTGATCATGTACGCGTTTCGAACTTCGATATTCAACATTTGACAGTGCCATGTTGAGTTTAACAGCAGCACCGAATGTTAACGTTCATTTGAAATGAAAATTGTTAGTGCTAAGTTAGCTTTGCTAACTTATTAATAAAGCTATAAAATATATTTATACAGATATAGGAGCTTTAATAATATTTTAATGAATATATAAACTTATTACAAAATGTAAAAGTTTATTAAAAACCCCCAAGTTTTGTATTACCATAAGAAAAGCTCTCTTAACATAGGCTCACCATTTCTCTTTCTCTCGATGCGGTAGCGCTCTCAGCTTATCGCTAGCATTTTTCAGTAGATTTTTCAGTAGTTCATTCGCCGTTGATCCGTATCGAGCGTAGGTTGCAGCAGCCGGCACATTGAATAAATATCGTGAGAAAACTACAACAAAAAAAGAAAGAAATAAAACTAAATGTGTGTGGAGAACAAAATTTACAAAAATAACAAAAAAAAAAAACAATATAAACAATAACCTTGCGCTCTTATGTAGAAAGTGCTTAGACCGTGTCTGCCTTTTGTTTGATAGATACATCAAAAACTATCAATGGATGATCGTTACACGAGAAATCGAAAGTTTGAATAGATACAAAGAAACCGTCATTTGCATATGCATCGAACATTAATTTAATTCAATTACGAAAATAAAAACACGAATAAATCTCTTAATTTCTTGTATTTGCAACTGAAAATGGAATTGAAATCAATGAGGAATCAAATTCAGCCTAGTAAGGCTATGTTTCTGAGCAGCTAGAATGTCTGACCAATTAACGCGCTGATTAGCAAGTCAATTCACCAAATGTCAGATTGATTTATACATACACATACATATGTATATATACATATGTATTTTATACGTAGCCAAAAGTTCCTCTCAGTTGCAAATTCAACACGTTTAATTTGTGTCAATACATCTATTTTTACAGAGAGCTTAACTAATAATTTGTGGGAAATTCCAAACAGAAATTAAAAAATAAATACGAATAAAAGCTTGTTAAATCTCTAACATCATCTCTCGAATTTTGATCTATATACATTACGTATACGCCGTGTGCTCGCCTCTGTGTGATCGAGCGCGAAAGAAACAAAAGCTAAACACAAGGCACATACATCTACATAAATTCGCTTAGATGCGTGAACGTCATTTGGGCAAAATGCCGCGCGGAGGAACGACAACAGCGTAAGTTCGATGCGACGAGGGCTGTTCATTAAACACAGCACGAGGTTATCTAACAAAATTAGTATAGCTCTATATCTAGATTATATATTAACATGTTAATATTTTTGTGCTAATTGGGACGACAGCTCACGTGCCAAAAGCAAACAAACAAATGTCTGACTATATTTAATAATATACTAAAGAGTATGGGAAGGATACTGATAGATCTTTGCTTATATCATAATGTAGCATATGAGCATATTCCTTGAGTAAATTTAATGTTACGATACATTAAATGGAATACTAATGTGTGTACGTACATCAAGATATATCATTAGCAATGCTGATATAGAATTTACCTACATCATGAAGTATCATAAGAAATACTCAAGGATCTCAGCTTACTTCTTCTTCTTCTCATAGATATTTGCTTACATCATGATGTAGCATAGTTACAAATTTTATGCTTAAATCTCATCTCACATAATGATCTACAATCTACTACTACACTATTATACCTAACTGTCAACTCTTCGATCTACCCTGCATCTTAAGCACCCGCTTATACATACATATACGTACATTTAAATTGATAAATGATGTGTTGCTTGAGATGTAGATTGAATTCCCCACATATATGCCGGCAAAGTACACTCTAAATCGCGATCTAGAGAGCAAGAGAGAGAGAGAGAGAGAGAGAGAGAGAGAGAGAGAGAGAGAGAGAGAGAGAGAAAGAGAGAGAGAAAGGTACTCTAAGGCAAGCTAAAGCCAAGCAGCCTGGCTCTTAATTCCAATTCGAGCTAAGGCGAAAATAAGACAAACTTTATGAAGAAATGTTTACAAGTATCTATGTATTTGTATATGTATTTGTATATGAGCATAAATAAATACAAGAATTCAATGAATAAATTGCAGGGCAACTGCGCCAGTGTGGCATTTGTGTTGCGTGTCGAGTTCTGGTACTGCGAATTTGATTGTATCTTTAAGATACAATTACCGTACACACACCAGCACACACCAGCACACACACACACATATATGCAGGCGTAACAGAAGCTGCCGTTAAACAAAACGAAGCACGAAAATGTTTCAATTGAAACTCCCCGAGACGTCGCTCAGTTCGTAAACAATTGTCGCCCATTGTAAAGCAACACCAACAACACATGCATGCACACACACACACACACACACATACACACACAGATATTTGCTTGCAGTCTAAGCTTGTACATAATTAACCCGCAGGACACATTGCGAGCGTCTGTTTCATGATTTTTGTTTCTTTTCTCCAACTTCTCTCTCTTGCGGTTTCGTCATGCTTCGCGCAAATGTTTTAATTTCGTTACAAACGTACTTAAATTTTAATTGTACTTTCGTAATTTGTCACATCCTCAATGTGTGCTTCCTGCTGCCGGCTTATGGATGCATCGCACAGCACTTGCCCAGATACATTTGTATCTGTGCCACAAGTAGCTGCTGCGAGTCGCGCTCCAGTTTGGTTTTGTTCTCCTCGGTGCCATCCAATCCATACCACGCCATAATTAGCCCGCTTTCAACTGGGCGAGTTACATGGCCAAAGACCAGTCATTGCTTGGGCGCTAATTATGGCGCAGAGCAGCGCCTAGATACATTTTTATCTCGAGATACACGTTGTAGCTGTTGAGCATTAGCTTGTGCCTATCTGTCTGGCCAAAGATAAGCGACTAGATGGACATCATATCTGTTTAATTCTTGTGCCTAATCTACTTGGCTAAACTCTAAACTGTTATACTCCCACTTATACGTCTGCCTATGTGTACTTATACTTGCACTTATACCTCATGTTTGACTGAAGTGTAGGTTCTTCTTATGATAAGCTGATTATGATAACCTTTTAAGCATTTATACTCATGCGTAGACTTATACTTGAACTTATACTAACTCACCAAAAGTCTACTTTAATAGCTGCAGCAAAATGTTAAGTATATTTGTATGCCTCCAAACAAATTCTGTTCTTATCCATTTCATACTTGTACTGAAAATTATATTTCTACGTTCACTTATAAGTAAACTTATTTATGCTACTTATACTTATACAACACTTATGAAAGTAGAAGTTGAAGTTTAGAACTTTTTCCTCAACACAAATAATACTGAAGGTAATAAAGACTACAAAGCTTGCCAGACATACATTTACATACATATAACAGATGTGATGTGATTTATGGACTAGCCTAGGATTTCGTGCCGTTAAAAAAGTGCGAAAATTGAGAGTTACAAAGTATTGTAATACAAAGTATACAAATTTTATTGCTGCTATGGGAACTAGAAGCTTATGCAAAGAATGCATGCTGTATACCTTAGATTTAAAGCTATACCAGATCTAATTTAGTACTAAAGACATAGCTTGATATATTAGCTAATAAAAGCCATTATATTATTTAATAATAAAGCAATGTACATAAGACAATCGAAGATGCCATGTAAGACATATTGAAACCAGCACAAAGCTAACTTAAGGGCTTAAGCTAGGTATATAACAGTTGAAGCAGTGTTAAAAAACAACGATCGCTGCACAACATATAGAATATATAAGTGTTTATAACATAAAAGTAATAATATATAAGTATTTTAATAGTGAAGATGGGAACGATTTATAGATATTACACTATATGCTCTATGAAAAGCTTGAACTGTGATCTATCTATGTAGATACTGTCACATGTGGCCTATGTATGTATATAGTAGGCTTTTATATGCATACGACATGCAATTCAGTTGTATTCAATTCAATTTATGGCTATCAAAATAATGACTCAGACAATCTACAATTAATTAAAGTTTTGCCTGCTTTCGCTATGGCTAAAGAGGAGCTGTTGCTGCTGTTGTTGTTGTTGCTGCTGTTGTTGTTATTGTTTTTGTTGCGGTTAAAGAACTATCAACTTAAGATTTTAGCTTTCCTTCATTAAACAACAAACCAGGCACCAGACAGTCTATAGTCATGTCTGCTGCTGCTGCTGTTGTTGTTGTTGTTGTTGTTGTTGTTGTTGTGGGGGCAGTGTCAAGCACCTCGAATAGTTGCTGACCCATTAGCAACAATTGGCATTAAATTCATCTGGAGGCACGTCGAAAGCCACGGTTGCAGGTTCATGATCAGGTTTAGACTTGCAACTTGCAACTTGCCACATGACTATGTAAAACGAGTTGTGGCATAAAAGCAAAAGCAAAAGCAAAAGCCAAAGCTTTTAGCGAAATTTTCCCAGAGCAGACGGCTGAAAAAAAGTGAAAGAGATATATACACAGATGCAGATGCAGATGCAGATACAACAGTTGCAAGTGCAGCTGCAGCTGCCGCAGCCGCTGCCCCCGCCCATTGTGGTTGCTAAACAATTTGTGGTCGTTGTTGTTGCTGCTGTTGCTGTTGCACTTGGGCGGCAAGTGAAATGTGTGTTAAAGCAAACAGCCTGTTCGGCTGCCCGCGAGCAGCTCATGTGTTGAAAGCTAAATGCCTCTACACTTATACACATACAAATACACACACACACACACAGAGATCTATATTGTTGCGCTGTGCATTCGCCCGTTCATTGACATCGCCCGCTGAGACATGATGCATCCATCGGCTGCACCGCGCCTAATGAAATTGTCAGGGCAACAACAACAACAACAACATTGTCGGTCGATCGGTCAGACGGATGCTGCGGCAACATGTTAATTAAAGCGCTTATTATGCGGCGTATCACAAAATGTTGCAAGTGATATTAAACAAAAAAACCCAAAACCCAATTAATAATTTCAGCCACTGTCCATTGATAGCTGCCACACACACACACAAACACAAACACACACACACAGACAGACAGAAGCGGCTGAGAAAGTGCGTGCCCAAATAGGCTATTTAACAAGCTGTCTTTAAATACCCTGCACTCATTAATAGTGTTAAAGGGTAGTTAGACTGGCTGGACTTAGACTCACTTTGATTTATAGATGAATATTGGAGTCTTGTGAGAGCTTTTATGTAAGTCTTATACAGTATCCCAGACAAAAGTGGGCTGTCTTATATGGCATAAGAGCTTTAATGAGCTCAAGAGAAATATTTACGTCAAGAATATTTATCACTGAGATCAGTCTTCAAATGAAAGACGTTAACTATATATATAGAAACATTTAACCATCACAATCATAATCGCATATGATGAGCAGAATAGAAATGCCAAAAGCCGAGAGAAGAATTCAAGTTTTTGTGTTGCAAGTTACGACAGCTGTGACCGGATTACAGGGTATTATGTAAGCAATTAAGATTGAGACATGCACTACAGGGCATTGGCTAGTGTCACACTTTCCACTGTAAATAACTCTCACACTAACATTATATTGTTCATAAATGCTTTGGCTTTTGCTTTCATTATCAGACAGCGGGCGATTTCTTTGGCTTTGCGCACTATTAATTTAAATAATAACAATAATGATTTTGTTTGTTTTGTTGCTTTCGTTTTGTGGATTGGCTGTCACTTCAAGTGCAGCAGCTCGTTGGCCAACAGCAATGCGCCTAATTACCCACAGACCCCAAAGACATCGCCAGAAAGGCCCCCAACGCCTTCCCACTCCCACCCTATCCTCTCTCAGCTATTGCACTCCACATTTGGTTGCTGTTTACTTGCAACAGCTGCTCGTTGCATTCAATATGAATTGTGATTCGGCAGCAACACTGTGAGAAATTTCACAGTCCATTCCTCTATGCTGCATCTGCTTATGGATGCTGAGCTCATCTCCATTTCAGCCATCGAAATGTTTTGTCATCTGATCACACGCAAATGATGACGAAAAATTATTATTATTATTTATTATGTGAATAAAATTTTAATTGGCATCGAATTGCATATGCTCCATAAAATTCAAGCGACAATTGAGAAAATATTTATGTAGAGCGGAGTTCTATGAGCATGGCATATATCATATATCTTGAATATAATATATCTGTTTAAAGTTGTTTTTCTTGAGCTAATTTTGGCATGTGCCTTTGAAATTGAGTGTCATTTATCTCCCGATCAATGATAATATTGTATATGTTCTTAAGTAGAATTATATACATAGTTTCAATTTGGGAATTTGGCTTAGGGATAGAGTTGTCGTTAGAGTAAACCTTAGGCCGTATTTGGTGTTATAGAACCGCTGAATCGAAACCTCGACAAGGTTCTAACACCCCTATTATACCCTAATAGTCAGCAAGCTTTCAAAATGTGATCATAAATAATGTAAAAGCACAATGACAAACAGGAAAAAAAAAACAAGACTTCAAACACACAGAAAAAAAATACAAAAGACAAAAAAAAAGGAACACAGATTAGATAATCCCCATGGGCGAAATAGCGGATTACTTAAAAGAAACAAAAGGCTACAAAAAAATAAAGGAATATTTAAAAAAAGAACAGTAAGAAAATGAGTACAAAAGGCGATGCTAACTCAATTGTATTTGAATAAGTCTGAGTCTGAGGTTGAGTCTGAGTCTGAGTCTGAATCTGAGATGATGATGACGATGCTGAGGCTAAAGAACTGAACCAATTAGCGGACAAATTAGATAATTGCTAGAGTTTTTATTTGTTGTTCAGATTTGCCTTTGTGTTGTGAAGTCTGTGGAAATGTTTGCTTTATCAAGCAATTAAGAGAGAAATTGTAGGTAATTATGTAAGACTCGGACAAACTCTAATTATGTAAGATTGGAGAGGGAGACAGCCAGACTAAAGATCTTTTACATAATTGAATTAGCAAACGCAAATAGCTGAAATCGAAAAAAAATCCTATATACATATTTTCATATATGTAGATAAATAGCACTCTTTAATACCCAGGCTTGACTTGGATAAACAATTATGGATATAATTGATCGCAACTTTATAGATGTGCTAAATCGAAGCATATTCGGAAAAAATAAACCAAGTGAAAAGTAAATCTAATCTAGAAACTAATTTAATGTACATACATATGAAACTCGTTGCTTCTCTTCTTCATGTCATTGCAGACGCTATGAGGAGGATCCAGATAATGCCTGGAACTGTTGTTCCTGGTGTGAATATTTGTTAATCGTAATACTCTCTACCATATTGCTGGTGGGTGTCTTGATATTGGCACTCTTCTGGGTGATGTTCTATCGCGGCGGCTTCGCCTGGTCGGAGAAGCCAATGAAGCAATTCAACTTGCATCCCATTCTGATGATAGCGGGTTTCGTAACGCTCTCTGGATTCTGTAAGTTGAACATGCCAGATGTGGATCATCCCATACATCATCTTATATACGAATATCATTTCAGCTATCCTAGTTTATCGTCTGTGCCGCTGTGTCAAGCACATCTATGTGAAACTGATTCACATGTTCTTTCATGCTGCCGCAATACCCTGTATTGTCATGGGCTTCCTCTCCGTCTTCGACTCGCACAATGCAATGGCCAAGTTGAATTTCTATAGCCTGCACTCATGGCTGGGCTTCGTGACAATGTGCATGTTCCTGCTGCAGTTCGTAATTGGCTTCTTAACGTAAGTCTCCCACGCAGCTGTTGCCCAAGCGTATCTCTATGGCCTCTAACCTTTTCCGTCTTAGATTTCTGGTGCTGCTCTGCTGCGACAATAAAACCTACAGCTGTCGCTCGGCCATGGTGCCGATACACGCCAGCCTGGGCTTGGCCAACTTCTGGCTGGCCATAGCCACCGCTGTGACGGGCATCATCGAGAAGGAACGCGAGACTGCCAAGGATCCCACACTGAGGTGAGTCTCAAGCTGCACTCCAAGGAACTCTCATATTCAAATCGCTTCTCTTTGCAGCGACGAAAATCGCATGATTGAGCATTATATAACAACTGCGATGGGCGTTACTCTCATTCTGATTGGCGTTATTGTCACCTTTGCTGTGCGAAGAACCAATGCACCTGCCTCTGCCAAAGTCTATGTGACCGAACGCATTTAGATTGTGGCCAACTGCCACGCCCATAACTACGGCCGCCTGCCACAGCCAGTGTTTTAATAGAGCTGCAGCTGTCTGTTCTAAAAAAAAAAAAAAACAAAAACAGAAAATCAAAAAACATTCGTCACATCCATAAACTCTCTCCGTTGTCTGTGTAGCACAAACAGCACAAAAGCTTATCTTCATATACATACTATACTACGATACTATATATATATATATACACTCATATGCCAAATCAAAAACTCTTTCTACAAAATCAAAATCAAGAACATTTCTTTGCCTACATTTGCTGCTATGTAGTTTTGTCTATATAATTATACATATATATATAGTAGTGTATTCATTAGATACAGTCGAGAAATATGGATATATATAAAAAAATATATAATATATATATAGTACCGCCCAGCCCAGAGACCAAGCATTAGAATTTTACACAAGCAAAAAAAAAAAAAAGAAAGCAAAATTTATAACTAACTTTAGTATACAGCTGAATTATTAGCCAGATCTTTTGATACTATTCAAATACTATTCATTATATACATATACTATAAACACATATTGTACTATACGAACTAATGCATAAAACTTTTTTTATATTTACATACGTAGTTATTGTCGCATTTGATGTAATTTTTTGCTAAATATTTGTAATTCATAAACGAAAACGAAAACGAAAAAAAAAGAACCTAAGCAATATAAGTTGTAAACCCCAAAATTTACAAGTATATAATAAATGATTCATTTTATTTATTAAAATTAAAAAATATGTGTTCCAAATGCGTTTCATGTAGAATAAATAGTTAAACCCTTCTTTTCAGTGGCAATTCATTGACTAACTGCATTTGTAGCCCTTGAGCTGGGGCAATCGTAGTGCTCGCTTCTTGATCAAAATCACATTTTGATTGCCTGATTGTGACGTTCGGCCAGTTACATAGATAATGCCGTTATTTGTGCCAATCGAATAGACGCTCACATTCTTCGGCTCGTGCTTGCTAACGGGCATATCGAAGTTGCGCACTCGCGGCTCGGGCTTGCTGTTGACATGGATGTTCTCTATATCTAGTTTGAAAGGCGAGACAAAGTTGCGTATCCAAGGCTTCGGCTGGAGCAGTTCGCGCTCCAACCGATGGCTTCGATTGTCGTCCGCCTGTTGCTGATCTCCATCTCGGTCCTCCTCGTGATCCCGATCATGATCTCGATCCCGCTCGTGATCCTGATGCTGTGCCTGATCTTTGTCAGACTCCGGTAACTTGCGCACATAGGACAAATCTGGCTCAAAGGCCGGCACTTCACCCTAGCATAAGAAATGAGAGCATATTGTCTCATTTGTCAAGTATTGTATTTCACTTACCATGCATACGTGCAGTTTCTGTGCCTTGGTATTATCAGCTATTAGGAGTCCGCATTTGCATTCCACATAGCCGTGTAGTCTGTATATGGGTCCTATTTTCTTAATGCTAAAGCAACGCTTTACGTGCGCTGTCAAATTCTTAAACTTTTCTATAGGCCGGCCACAACTGGGGCAAGTGGATTTATTCTTGATTTCATTTACTGTATACCAATAGGTTTTGCGATTCTGCAAAACACTGTACCGTTTCTTACTGATCTGCAAATAGGTAGAACAATTAATTAAACCTAAAGCAACGACAAAATAGGTACAGCAGATACGAACCGTCATGTCCTCGTCACTTGACATAATTTAGCATTTAGATTTCAATCAGATAGTTGTAAGACTGTATTAAATATCAAACGCTCTCAACGTGGTAGCTCACAACTTAATAATATATCTTAAATATAAATGTTTTCAGCATCCAGGAAAATTAAAGTCACATTGTTTATGTTTGCCAATGCGTTTGCAATTCTAGTTGCGCATTAATCCAGTGCATACGACGCTTAGCTTATGCTAAAGACACTTTCTAGCGTGTCCTAAGCTTACGAGTTGTTTAATATTGTGTATATTTAAGCACAAAATGCTATTTGTTGATATTTTATCTTTTTTAAGTTGTTCGCTGCCATTGCAGATGCTATTAAATAAACTATTGTGAACGATAATATTTTTTAACATTATTTTGCAACACTGCACTTATCGGCCATGTATCGGATCTTTATTGCCCGCCTATCGTTCACCCACCACAAATTGTCTCAACAAGAAAATATAAAATTACGAACAATTTGAAAGAAACAAATATAAATTACATTTCGTATAGCTGGAAGTGCTCTAAGCACCAAATACTCATTAAGAAGCATAATAAAAATCTATACCAATAAATCACAACTATTTTTCTATGTGGATAGTTTAATAAATGAGTATCTACATATGTATATAAACACTTTGTAAGAAAAATATGGGTAAGTATTTTCTATGGCTGTAGAATATAGTTAAAAAGTATTGAAGTAATATTAAACTTCCCTTGATGCAGAAGCAACAGCAGCTACGCCGTGCTTGCTATGCCTGGAAGAGAATCCATCAACACTGCATGATTATATGGATGTATTTTCGGCGAAGGCTGCCCAACTGAATGTGGTGCAAATTATCAACAAACATTTTCCAATAGAGCTAGTACAAAGCAGCGGGGAAACTCGAAAAATATGCCCACCATGCTGGACAACGGTTTCCGCTTTCAATACGCTACACGATTTCGTCTGCGCTGCACAAAGTTCGCTGCGGGAAGCCAAGGTGTTGCTTATGGAGGATGACCCGCTGACCCAGGCAAACTTTAAGCAGGCCAATACCGATGCAGCCGAGCTGAATGCTCGCAACTTCTTCTACCCCGAGGTCAAGATAGAGGAACATGAGCTGGAGCAGTTGCCCAAAATTGAGGTGCTCGAAGGTACGAGCAGCCTGCAGACACCATCGCCCGCTCGTCGTCTGCGAAAACGTGTCAAAGCGGAAGCAGAAACCGCAAATGCCCAATCAGAATCGCCAGAGGTTAATGCAAATGAATCTGTAGAGACAGTTGAGCCGCCGAAGAAACGTCGCGGGCGACCACGCAAAACCGAAGTACTGCCTAAACCCAGTCCAGCTGAATCGCAACCGGAGCAAACGTTAGATTTGCCGTCCAGTCTAAAGACAGAAGCGGAACATCCCGAAGACTTCAGTGATGATGAACAAGAGTTCATTGCCGAGTTTGTTGAAGGACTTGCCCACAGCGACGACAGCAGCGAGGAGGAGGAGGATGATGATTCTGATTTTACGGTTGGCAAGCCGGATGACGGCGAGTTCGCCATCATACCGAAGCGTACTCCAGTCCGACCCAAGAAGTATAAAAAGCGTGCCAAGCCAGCGGAGCCGCGAGTTCGCATGTCCCGCGAACTGCTCGATCAGCGCAAGAAACAGCAGGAGGAATTCGATGCGATCATAGCCAAGTTTTTCAGCGATGTGCTGCCCTGCTCCATATGCAATCTTCTAGTGCATAACTTTACGGAAATGCAGCGCCATCATCGACTCACACACCAAGTGGATCCGGGCTATATGATTTGCTGCGGGCGCAAGTTTACGCAACGTAAAGTGCTGGCCGAACATGTCCTGGTCCATTGGAATCCCGATCATTTTAAGTGCACCACCTGCGAAAAGTCATTCCAAAACTCACGGCATTTGGAATCGCATCAACAGGTGCACGAGTCCAAGTTGACCTTCCAGTGTGATCTCTGCAGCAAGGCATTCCTTAGCAAAACGGCCATCGACTATCATAAGCTGAACAAACATGTGCCCAAATCTGAATTCAAATTCACCTGCAGCGAGTGCAACAAAAAGTAAGTGAGAACCCATAGGCAACAAAAATTCAACTAATTCTTGATCCACTGCAGATTCCTGACTGAACGCAAGCTGAAGAATCATATGAACTCCATGCATGACCCGGAGAGCATTATCATTTGCGACAAGTGCGGCAAACAGATGCGCACGAAAATCATCCTGAAGAAGCATCAAGAGCTGATGCACTCAAACACCCCACGTCCAGAGCCCGAGCTGAAGCAGTGTCAAATCTGTGGCGCCTGGCTGAAGGGCATGACAGGTCTGAAGCAGCACATGAAGAGCATACATGTGGAGAGCGCGGGCGAGCATCGTTGTCATGTGTGCAGCAAGGTATCACCAAATGCCCGTGCGCTGCGTCGTCACATCTATCACAAGTAAAGCCGGCACAACACTCTTAATTCGAATATGAACTAATCTCTCTTCTCGTTGGCAGTCATGAATGCGAGCGCAAGTTCAAGTGTACCATGTGCGACAAGGCCTTCAAACGCCCACAGGAACTCAAGGTCTGCTCTAACTCCAAAATCTCTCCACATATCTAATTTAACTGATTGCAAATTCGCCCCAACAGGAGCACACATCCACCCACACCGGCGAGGTTTTGTACACCTGTCCCAACTGTCCGATGACCTTCTTCTGCAGCGCCAATATGTATAAGCATCGCCAGCGTTTGCATCGAGCCCAATACGAGGCCGATAAGAATCAGCCAAAGCCTCCAAACATATTGCAGCAAGCAGTGGGCGCCACGGCCGCCATGAAGATCAAACTGATGCAGAATACAAATGTGGCCAGCATAGAAACGGACTTGAAGCATTTCTAGATCAATATATAAGTTATCTTAAGGCCACTAGACTAAGTAGTTATAGTATATCGTATAGTTGTGTAAAGTTAAAACAAGAATATAGAATATAGAACATGTATACTTATATTATATATATATAGTAAAGTCGATGTCGACGCACTTTCGTATATATTTACTGTCTTTTACTTGGGCGTATTTGGGTTCCATATTGTTAACTAAGTGAAAACAAACAAAGTTGGAATGTCTTTCTTTCTTTATAATTATTTACAAGGATCGCACCTTATATAACGCATTAACATTTACATAATTTGTGTAATGCATATTATTTAAATATATATAATATATTATATATATATAAATTGATCTTTTTTTGCATTTTCTTATTTTGTTTAAACATTTAGATTTCTTGTAGCAGTAGCAAACATTGAAAATATTAATTTAAACTTTACTTTACATACAATTATTATTGTTCTCTCCTCGTTTAGCTTTAGATTAGTGCAAAGTTTTCATGTAGAAAGTGTTCGAATTAGATAAGCTTTATATATTAAGGTTTTCTTTTGTTTTTATATTTATTTTTTGCTAACTCGAACTTTTGCTTTTTTTATAAACTCGCGATATCTAGGCAACATTTATAAATAGAATACTTTTGTTTGGGTTTTATATAGTTTGTTTTCCGGCGGAAATTTCATTGCATCTTTTGTTTTGCGACTCCTTTTACACTTATTAATCAAATATTAGTTAAAATTGTTAGTTTTAGTCGGGCTTGCAATCAATTGTTAGTTACAGATATTAAAAAAAAAAGGAAAAGAAAAATCAAGGTAAATTGTTTAAACACATCTTTGTGAATGAAGAAGAAACATATGTAAATCAATATTTATTTATATGTATTATTAATAATGTTGTAGCTACTATAAACAAAATTAAACTTTCGGCTTGATTTTAGTGACAATGCGTGTTAAGGTTCATCATTTTTTTTGTATGTGTGTGTTTACTATAAAATATATCATTCAGTTATAGTTTACATATTTTTGCATTAACAAAACAAGGCCAAAAGAAAACAAACAAAAGAAAGAAAGTGTAACAAACAAAAAAATACTGTTTAAAACTGAAGCAAGTATTGTAAATACAAATTAGAAACTTTTTTGATACAGTTTTAGTTTTGTGAGGGGCGGAGGCAAACGCGATATGAACAAAAAACATTTGGAAATTTTGTTTTGCTTCTCTTACGCGCGATTAACATTATTTAAAACTTTTTTTTGGGGGTTTTCTTTGTCGAAAATAAGTTGAACTTGGGAAACGGAATTCAGCGAACGCGTAACATAAATAACAACAATAATTATATAACAATGACTAAATTAATTTATAGTTAACTATTAATTGTTTGCGTGGTTTACTGTTGTTGTTGTTCCTTTTATCTTTAACTTATTGTTTCTTTTTTTTTTAGTTATGAGCAGATTAGAATTTTTTCTTGATTTGTTTTGGGAAGCAGACAGCGTTTTCTCTTTTTTGTGTGTGTGTCTGTGTGTTAGCTGTTGCTGTGAATACAATTTGCATATTCAGTAAATTGTTGATCTTCTTTTGAATTTATATATTTATTGTTGTGTGGCTGTGTATGGGCGTGCGGGGTTATGTGGGCGTGTGCGAAGTAGAGGCACGTGCGTTGCCTTCTTAAAGCTTGGTTTGCTCAACCATATCGATGTTCACCTTGTAGAACACATACGGATAGTATTCAGATTGGCCAAAGCCCAAGCCGGGTATATCCACATTCTGTTTGAGAAATGAAAATTTCAATATTTGCATAAATTATTCAGTTTGAACGACTCACATCAGCACTGTTCACATTTCCGCCAGCGGATGCACCATCCAAGTGGCCATACAGCTGATTGAGCACATCACGCAAGCGCTTGACGCTCTTCTTATTGGGCTCAATCAATATGGCCTGGAAGTTAACAGGCAGGCCGTACCTATGAAGAAAGTAAAACAGATTATAATACTATATAGTGATAATGTGATATGGGATATAGGATGAATAATGGTATATGATGATGATTTACTTATGATGTATAAAATATATTCTACAACAAATTTGTCACATGAGATTCTGGGCATGAAAAATCCGAAAAGATGATATTTTCTTTGACTTGAGAAACTCATTTCTCAATCTCTCAATATATTGAAAAGTCTTCTGTGAGATTCATTGTCTACCTCAGCACAGATTCCACGAAAACGCGCAGCGCTTTGACGTGTATCAAGGCGCAGAAAGCCTCGCTGAAGTTCACCTTCAGCCAGCGCACCAGAGGGCCCTATTGGGAGTGTATACGATAGTTAATCATATTTAATAGAGCCTCTACTTTGACACCACTTACAAACTGCTTCTTCTTATCGGTCATTAGCTTGGTCATCTCGTTCTTGCCCGCTGCCAGCTCCTCCTCGTTGTAAACGAAATCACGCACAATAAATTTACGTTCACGAGCATGAAGCTTGAACTCCTCGGTGACCTTCTTGAAGAGCGTCACATTGAAGAGGCAGTAGTCGGGATCCTCCTTGATGAGCTGAGATGAGCGTGGCACAATCATTTTCGTAATCATCTCATAGTTGGCCAACCAATCATTAGCCATGGCCCTGAAATAAAACAATAGCACAGATGACATAAGAGCGTTATACAAAGCTTATAGAGAGACGGGAGTACACCCCTTTCCAAACTTACTTTGGCACAATGACAAGCAGCGTGGTCAGGTACTCCGAATCCAGTATGAAGTGCTCCTTCTTGACCAAATCCGCCAGATTGCGTGTCAGCAAACTGCCACTGTATATATAACAAATTAAAAATTGTGGTTAGGGTATGCGTGAGTCGAGTCACTTTCATTATGATTAACGACATACGTTTTCTTCTTTTCCAGATTCTGCAGATTGCCCTTCAGATTGTTGTAGGCCTGCGATTTGGTCTTCAAGTCGCCATCGATTTGACCGATTTGTTTCGATATGATATCGGCTATATTGCGCAGCGATTGTTTGATCGGATACTTGGCCATATCCCATTGGAAACGCGTTAAATACTGCGGTAGTTCGGCTAGATTTCGAAATAAAATGGATTAGTATTGCGAATTGATAAAACATTTGAATTTCTTTTTTTATTTTACTGGCAAATAACTAGTACAAAATAAATAAAATAAGTTTCAAAAGTAAATAAAATATGATATATTGCTGTAATATTGAAAAAATAAACTAGAGTTTTTGCAACATTTTCATTTTGTACAAAAACAAATTGAGTTAGTATTTAACAAACAAAAATTAAATTAATAAATATTGCACTTAGTATATTTAGATTAGATAAAGTTTAAAAGTTTATAATCACAAATACAAAAGACACACACATACATACATACACACACACACACACATTTATATATATATATATATATATATATTTACATACATAAATATATACAAAAAGGCAAACAAAGTCAAAAACATATTTACAACTTTTAGTTTAACACTTTGTTAATTAGCTATATATAAAACCTAAATATAAAACGTGCAATTAGCAGTTTGTTAAACATGCGACAAAATAAATCAAGTTAATTTATAACAGCGTGTATAACAGCTATTGCTTCGAACTGGAAAAAGTGATAGCCAAGACACACAATCAAGTGGCTACGGTTTGAAACTTTGCTAATATAAGCAGCGTTGAGCGGATTGAGCTGCTGATCTGTTATATGAGCTTTGTACAGGATATTGATCTGTTGAAAAAATAGACTCAGCTGTTAAGAGGAATTTTTTAGGAATATAAATATATATAGGATAAAGGAAATCATTGGGGCAGTCTTAATAACGCAATTTAGAGTATATGCAAAATATAAAATATATCAATTAATTTCCTGAAAAATGTAAGAATATCTTTATTTAACCTAACTATAGCTGGAATTGACTAAATTTAGTAATTCTAACTGACTAAACCTAAACCTAACAACTCCTCTCTACGATTAATTAACACTTAATTATCGTTAATTATGTACAATCAACAAAAATGCAAATGACAAAAACGAGTAAAGAATTATATGCACTACGATTACTAGAGGTGGGGTGGGGAGAGACAGCAAGGTAGTTGCTAACTGGAAAAATAACTATAAACTATAAATGTGTATTATTATTAAAATTAGAAGGAATAACAAAATACCTTTCGTAACGGCACAAAATGTTTTTTGTATTATGTTTTTATAGCTTGTTGTGTTTGTCTAGTGTAGGTAAAAGTAAATAAGCTAAAGCTTTAGACACTTAAAAGCAACTTAAAATCAAATTGTAAAAATATATAAAAAAGAAAAATAAATAAATATAAATACAATTTCACAAAAATTCTCTCTGTATGTGTACATCTGTGTGTGTGTGTGTGTAAGTGTGTGTTGGTGTTAATATAGAGCTTAATGGAAATCGGCGTTAATCGTGGCTATGAATTGCGCAGCAGAACAACATTTTTTGGTGAGCAGTACACTGAAAAAACAACATATTCGCTTTTACACTGTTACAAATCCTTAAATATATAATTCGTGTATTTATATATATTTATATAATAATGTATAAACAAAATAAAGAGAAAGAGATAGACAGAAAGAGAGAGAGATATACAGAGTAAAGACATTGGACTTTCTGTCATAACTGATACGCGCGCTTGTATAACACTTATGCCGTATAACAGTTAACCAATTGCACAATCATAATTCAAGCGAGCGCTAGACATGTGTTGATCAGTTGATATATCATATATTTATATATACTTATATATATATAAGTGGTATACATAGGTGGCAAAGAGGAGAAGGTAACATCAAGTGGTTCCTCAAAAGAAAGGAAAATAAATGTAAAACCAAAATTAAATGGAAACAACAACAAAAGAAGTGTAGGCAAAGGAAGAGAAACGATAAAGACAGAGGCAGAGGTCCAACGGGCCATTTGGCATGGCCAGGTATGCTAACCTGGACTGAGTGGAAATTCGGGCGGCTCAGCTGCATGATCCGTGTCTGGACTGGAACGACCCTGGCTACTACTGCCACAACAACTACTCACTGGTGACGATCTATGTGTTGTAGTTAAATTAAATCCATTGTTTATATTTAATTGAGACGTTGTAGAACGTTTGCTATAAATTTGATCGGCAAGAGAATTGAAGAAAGAGCGATAACTAGAGCGCGGTGTGGGCGATGTCTGATGCCAAAATGTAATTGGTTTGCTTTGTGGCTGTGGCTGTGACTGTGGCTGTGTCTGTATCGGTAGCTGTGTGGATGTCTGTGTGCTGTGTATAACAGTGCGTGTGTGTTGGTGTGTGAGTGAGTGAGTGAGTGAGTGGGTGGTGGGTGGTTTAATGAGTGGGTGATTGATTTAAAAAAAGAAATATATTATTATTGCAATTTATTTGTTTCGAAACTTTTTGCTTAATGAAATCAAACATTTATGCATGAGACTAAGAGAGAGACAGAGAAAGAGAGAGCAAGAGAGAGAGAGAGCGAGAAAGAGAGCGCGCAAGCAAAGCGGGTGCACAGTTTGTCTGTTGTTCATACATTTTTTTTTACAGTGTATTCTTTTCTTTCAGTGTATTTGTGTGGCATGACTGTAGCTCTGTTTGGGTTTTAATGACTGCGTGGAGTTTGGGCAAAGTTTTTTCAGTTTCTTTTTTTTTGTTTTTTGTGCTTTTTTTGGCAACTGTTCTACAGATAATTGTTGATAAAAAGGATACCTGCACTTCTTAGAGTTACGCTTCGGCTTATTGAACCACCAGTCGAATGTTTCGGATAATGAGGAGGCGCTAGTCGGACTCTTTGGATCATCCAAATCCTCCGCATCCTCCGTATCCGTATCGCATATCGACTTTTCTGTTGGCGATTGTAATGGCGATTGTTGTTGTTGTTGCTGTTGCTGCTGCTGCTGATGCTGCTGCTGCGCTGGCATTTGAAATTGACTGCTGCTGCTACGAAAGCTCAGCTTGTTATTGTTTATGCTGCAAGTGTTGTTATTTAGCTTTTTGCTATTAGAGCGCGACATGCTTTGCACCGAACTGCTGCCCGTTGGCGCCGACGTTGAGAAATAGGCCGAGGAGCAAATTGTCGATGCCGAACTGGCCTTGGCATCGGCAACAGTTGCTGCCGTTACGGCCGTCGCACTGCCCGGCGTGCTGCTGCCCGTTGCTATGGCCGTCACCGTGTTGATCGCACAGCGCGTGGCATTCAACATCGAGGAGGCTGTCTGGGTATAGCAATCGTCGGCCATCAATGTGCTCGCCGTGGCGCTGGCACTGGGCGGGGCAAACACGCTGCTGCTGTTGCTGAGCAGCCCATAGCACTCGTCGCAGGCACAGCCCGATGGCGGTATCACAAAATCAAAATCACGCTCCGACTCATCATGGGTTAGGGACAAATTGTTCAGGCTGCCGCCGCTGGCGCCGCTCACCTGGCACGCCGAGCAGCTGGCTCTGGCTGATGTCGAGGCGGAGGCATAGGCAGAGGCTGTGGCTGGAACGTTGGCGGAGGCGGAGGCGAAGGCGGAGGAGGCGTGCGCTGCATGCATATTGGTATTGGTAGTGGTAGTAGTAGTAGTAGTAGTAGTTGCTGTTGTTGTTGTTGTTGCTGCTGTTGTCGATTTGTTGCTGTTGGATTTACCCTTGAGATCCGCGGGCAGCTGCGGCAGATACTGATGATGATGATTGTGGTGGTTGTTATGGTGGTGTAGCGGATTGTTTTGGTGGTGCGTGTGCTGGTGTTTACGCTGATGGCGCAGGCTCAAATGCTTCAGACGCTGGTGATGTCGACACGGCATGCTCTCGTCAGGTGGGCCAGGACCTTCGGCAGGTAACAGGAACAGGAGCGAGTTGCAGTTGCAGTTGATATCAACATTTTCAGGAGTTGTTTTTTAGGCATTTTTTGTTGTTGTTTTTTTTTTCAGTTTTGTTTTGGACAAAGTTTGTAAAAACAATAAACATTTTTGGAACATGAACTTAAAAGCTATAGCTATAGCATACAAATCGAGGTTGTCTTTCAAATAGGCCTATATCGTATGCAGAGTCGATCAAAATAGCGATTTATACCCTATGTACCCAAATAATCGATTCCTTTTTTTTGTTTGTTTTTCTTTTTTATGAAACAAAAGCCAAAAAAAAAGGTAACAAACTAAAACATAAAAGTAAAATTTGTATATATATACTATATAGAATATATATATATACGAAATAAATTAAGAAATGAACTGAAGAATTGAAAAATTATAATAATTTTGGAATATATATTATGTATATAGCTCGTATACATATAATATATATATATAAACTCATACTATATGTGGATAGTTGACCAATTCATAAATCGAAAATAAATAAAAGATATATATATATAGATGCACATAATATCATGAACAACAGTGGAAAGAGAAATATTTATGGCAAATGCTTTCTCTCGTTTTTCTTGTCTTTTCAAATTTTCTTTACTTGGCGCTTAAATTTGTAACCAAATTAAATCAAATTTTGTTGCACAGTGTAAAAGCGTTATATTATTTTTATACAAATTTGTTTTCAATGTGAATGCCTGATAAAAAGCGAGTTGGACATGTGAATGGCAAAACACTTACACAAGGACACACACACACACGCACACACACATATATATATATATTTAGAGATAAAGAGACACAGTGAGAGATGAGACTTTTCATTGTTATACAAAATTTACAGTTTATTATTATTAAAATTAGAAATGATGGAGACGAGCGCACAGAAAAACAATTAATGCAAATGAAAATAGACGCAAACACACACACACACACACACGCACGCACACACATACAGTAGCACAATACTAATTGTTATACGGTATATAACAGTTTAGTCAATTCACATTTTGCATGTAAGACGCACGCACTTAAATTAAGTAAATCAAAGCAAATCAAAGGAAAAATGTAAATAAAAATTTGGAAAGAGAAAAACTCAAAAAGAAAAAGAAAATTCGCGCTTTTCTTTAAGAGATATACATATATTTTTTAATAACCAAAATATATTTTTATGTATTATGATGTTTTTTTTTTTTTTTTTTTTAAATTTTCTTTAGATTTTCTATTGGAATTTTCTAAAACTTTTTTATATTTTATACTTCTTGCAAAGTTAAAAAACTTGTTTTCCTTTTAATGATTTAAAAGCTAATCTGAATTCAAATTTAGTTGAAAAAAAAAAATTATTTAAAAATATTTTATAAAAACAATAAAATGAATTTACAACAATATTTAAGTCATTTTTGTAAAATATACAAAGTGTATTTTTTTTTTTCTTGGATAAACAGCTCAGCGAGAGAGAGAGAGAGGGAGTTTTAGCGCTTAGTATATGTAGTATAACACCTCTTTTCTTGACGACCTTTTTGCAAGTTGAGTGTGTGTGTGTGCAGGTGTATGTATTGGGGTGTGTGTGTGTGTGTCTATGTCTTTATTGTTGACTACTGGTAAATATATATGTTTATACATATATATTCCAGATAGATTTAGATAGATTTGTATGTGAAGTGCATGTGGATTTTGGGTATAGTTATTTGAGAGGGGCAAATGTACAACAAACGCAACACAAAACAGGAACAGAACGTTGCAGTCGGGCGCAACCGACTGCATAATACTCGTTCACGTTGCTTCAATTGGCTAAAATTCAGTCAGAATATATAAATAGTCATATTTTATGAAGTTCTTCTAAAATTTTACTTTTAAATTTTAATTGTATTACTGAAAAACTAAAGCAGATGTAAGAGATGTTCCCGAATTGCCCTACTGTCGTATAAATATATATCAATCACACATCTTAATTCAAATTATGAAACTACTATACTATACAAAATGTATCTCTAACCCAATTTACAGCGACTTACTACAGACATGTCTATATAGGAGTATATTCATTCATATAAAATTTCATCATAGCAGCACAATCGGACATTGCACAAAAATATTCAAATATACTCACTTTTCACGACGTGAACGAGTATAACAAACAACGAAAATTTCTCTTGACTTTATATATTCCTTTAGTTTATCTTGTTTCAAATTTAGTTCCATTGTTGTTTACTAAATATATATAAAAACACTTTTAAAATTTCTTATTTTCTTTTCTTTTTTTTTTGTGATGATTTGTGCGCATGAGTTTTAACATAATAAAAATAAACTCAGAATATAAATAAAAATAAAAATAAATAAATTAAATAAAATGAAAAATAATAATAATAAAGTATATTAAAAAAAATTAAGAAATAGAAAAAATATATATTAAAAAAAAAAAAAAAATAGATAACTTTAAGTTTCAGCTAAACATTTTTTTGGCTGAAAAACGAGTATCGATATATATAAAATTGGATTTGCTGAGGCTCTGTTAGTCAAATTGTCAGAAGACAGATATATATAGACATATATACATACACATACATGTATATGTACGTATATATGCATATATATAGATAATACTCTCGTATCCTTTTTGTATTTAGCAAAATTTTGGCTGATACTCAAGTCGAACAGGCTATATATATATATATATATATATATATATATATATATATATATATATATATAT